CATGCAGCCAGCTATGGCTGCAGAGTTTGGTGGTACATGTTGTTTACGTAGTTTTTTGTGAAAATTCGGTCACAGTTCCTATGACCTGCACTGTTTCATTGCTTTTATGGCTTTATTTTGGTGTTTTTCGAAAAGTTTGGTTTGGCCATGTTTGTTTGTTGTAGTACAGAGTTAGACTGATGGCCTTAATCTAAGTTGTCTTGTGGTTGTTGTTGTTTGACTTGCATCCCACTGGGATTTTTGCACACAGTGTCGGTGTACGGTGCTATTTCTGCAATATTTTGCTGTCTTTTCTTGGATTGTCTGTTTGCACATAGTCACTTTAAGTTGTTTTCTTGTTCATGTTTTTGTTTGTTGCGGTAGCACCCGATTCAAGGGCCGAATGGCTCACAGGGCTATACCTAATAAATGAACTTTGAACTTTGCTTATTTTGATCTCCGTAAGGTTTCTCGTATCCGTAACTGTCCCTCCGATACGGCTGCAGAAACAATAACTCGTGCATTGGTCGCCTCCAGGCGAGACTATTGCAATTCTCTGACCTACGGTCTTCCCTTGTTTCTCTTCCAACATGTGCAATATGTGCAAAAATGCAGCTGCAAGAGTGTTCACTCATACCTGTAAGCGTCATCATATTACACCCATCTGACGATCCCTCCACTGGCTACCTAGTCAGTCTAGAATCACTTTCAAGATTGCACTTACTTCTTGACTTAAAGCTTTTGTGACTGCAGGAATTCATATTCATTGGGTTTTTCGGTAAAGTCACGTCGATAGATAAAAATTAATAATAAAATGTATAATTGGAATAATAATAAAAATAACATAATAAATCACGACGTTTCGGAGGCAACACAAGTCTCCGTCATCAGGTGGGACTGTCACAGCTGAATTTATTGTCTCAAGTGAAGCAAAGTCCAAAGAGTCAAGCTCTTAAATACAAGTTAAAGGGAGGAGGGAAGGGGGAGGGGCTTATCTGAATGTGGAAGCCAATGAGTGGAACGTGTTAGGGGGGGGGGCGGGGCTAAAAGAGAGAAAAAACCTAAGAGTATGAATCCTTGCAGTCACGAAAGCTTCAAATCTAGAATTCACGTTGATAGGTTCAAAGCCTTCAGAGGCGAAAACCCCCTTTTCCTTATGACGACCGCTGGCGTTGCGATTGAAACGTCGTGGATTTTTTTGTTATTTTCTTTGAACCGATCTACGTGACTTTTACTGAAAGACCCAACGAATATGGCACCTACTGTTGTCTACGTGACTTTTACCGAAAGACCCAACGAATATTGCACCTACTGTTGTCTACGTGACTTTTACCGAAAGACTCAACGAATATTGCACCTACTGTTGTCTACATGACTTTTACCGAAAGACTCAACGAATATTGCACCTACTGTTGTCTACGTGACTTTTACCGAAAGACCCAACGAATATTGCACCTACTGTTGTCTACGTGACTTTTACCGAAAGACCCAACGAATATTGCACCTACTGTTGTCTACGTGACTTTTACCGAAAGACCCAACGAATATTGCACCTACTGTTGTCTACGTGACTTTTACCGAAAGACCCAACGAATATTGCACCTACTGTTGTCTACGTGACTTTTACCGAAAGACCCAACGAATATTGCACCTACTGTTGTCTACGTGACTTTTACCGAAAGACCCAACGAATATTGCACCTACTGTTGTCTACGTGACTTTTACCGAAAGACCCAACAAATATTGCACCTCCTGTTGTCTACGTGACTTTTACCGAAAGACCCAACAAATATTGCACCTCCTGTTGTCTACGTGACTTTGACCGAAAGACCCAACGAATATTGCACCTCCTGTTGTCTACGTGACTTTTACCGAAAGACCCAACAAATATTGCACCTCCTGTTGTCTACGTGACTTTGACCGAAAGACCCAACGAATATTGCACCTACTGTTGTCTACGTGACTTTTGCCGAAAGACCCAACAGATATTGCACCTCCTGTTGTCTACGTGACTTTTACCGAAAGACCCAACAAATATTGCACCTCCTGTTGTCTACGTGACTTTTACCGAAAGACCCAACAAATATTGCACCTACTGTTGTCTACGTGACTTTTGCCGAAAGACCCAACAAATATTGCACCTCCTGTTGTCTACGTGACTTTTACCGAAAGACCCAACAAATATTGCACCTACTGTTGTCTACGTGACTTTGACCGAAAGACCCAACGAATATTGCACCTACTGTTGTCTACGTGACTTTGACCGAAAGACCCAACGAATATTGCACCTACTGTTGTCTACGTGACTTTGACCGAAAGACCCAACGAATATTGCACCTACTGTTGTCTACGTGACTTTTACCGAAAGACCCAACGAATATTGCACCTACTGTTGTCTACGTGACTTTGACCGAAAGACCCAACGAATATGGCACCTACTGTTGTCTACGTGACTTTTACCGAAAGACCCAACGAATATTGCACCTACTGTTGTCTACGTGACTTTAACCGAAAGACCCAACGAATATTGCACCGACTGTTGTTTGAATTCTTCATGGGCTCGCCCCCCTGCCTGTCTTGCCGCTCTCATTTCGGTTTATCCCCCCACCTCGCGATCCCCGCTCAGCTTCACGCGAGGTTTGCTGTCCACCCCAAAAATTTGACACAAATCGATTGGCGGACGAGCGTTCACATGTGCAGCGCCCACGGTCTGGAACACGCTTCCCGCTGCACATGCGACAAATTAAATCAATTAACTTATTAAAATGTGAGCTAATGGCTTCTTTATTTGTCCAGGCATACGCTAGCACATAGGCGTTTATATTATAGCATTTACATTGTACTGGTAGGAACCTCCTGGTTACACCAGCCCACCAGGGGATTATTGTGTCCGTCCGTCCGTCGTGCAAGGAGGGGCTGGGTGGGGAGGGAGGGGCTGGGTGGGGAGGGAGGGGCTGGGTGGGGAGGGAGGGGCTGGGTGGGGAGGGAGGGGCTGGGTGGGGAGGGAGGGGCTGGGTGGGGAGGGAGGGGCTGGGTGGGGAGGGAGGGGCTGGGTGGGGAGGGAGGGGCTGGGTGGGGAGGAGGGGCTGGGTGGGGAGGGGCTGGGTGGGTAGGGGCTGGGTGGGGCTGGGTGGGGAGGGGCTGGTCACCCCGTGGTGCCCTTATAAAACTCAACGTTTAACCTACTCACGCCGGCTTGTGCCCGCCCTCACAGTCGGCCATATTTGCGGAATACACCACGCCGCCGTTGACCCTGGCCATTGACCGAGCAACCCAACGTTCCTACCAGCTCCCTCCGCAGGAATGTGTTCGTCCAACTGGCTTGTACCGTTTTTGGCCACTCCACCACGCTTCCAGTAAAGGTTCTCTCTCCAAAATCCAGCGAAATGTTGGGATCGTGGTCAGGGGGTATGAAGACCGACAAGATGAATGAATTTTAATTGATTTTCTCTGTAATAATTTTCTTCTCGTTATTTAGTATTTATTTGCTAACTAGTTGTGGTTTTGTTTTTGCATCGTCTGCGTAAGGGACTGGATTATTGATGTGCAGCGTTGTGGGATGGAATTGCATGAATTACGCTATACCAAATTAAATAATTATTATTATTAAATGCTAATAAAACTGTAGGGGCAAGTGCTGTTAGCGAGCACCTATGATGGCCGGAACGGTACACGAGGGGGTGGGTGGCCAGCACCACGCCCGACCGCGTTTGTCTCCCCAGTGGCGATGTTTACACATCGCACCAGGTACTCATTTGAGGCTGAGTCAACCTAGGCGAGGCCCGGGACCGGTTCAGATAATCGTCAACCTGGTGTTGGCCGTGAGTGGGAATCGGGTTTATAGTGTAGCGCGCTAACCGCTACACTACTGCTCCCCACAGACAAACACACAGGTACACAAAAACACACGTGTACACAAAAACACGTGTACACACATCTGCTTTGGATCATGATCGGTAAGTACAGTATTTATGTTACTATTGCTGCTGCTCTATTTAAGACTGGGAGCCAGAGCAGAGCCTTACCATTCTGGCGAATTGCCCGATGATGCTGGATGCAATTACCAGCGAAACGTCGTACTCAAAAACTGTAAATGTTGTGGATTCACTCTTCAACACACCGGTGGGCTAAAGCAGTGAACTATTTGTCTTTTGTCAACGTGACACATTTTTTACTGATTGGCTGTGTCGGGTAGTGGCGGGTTACGACAAATTTATAAATAACGAGATCTAACCCAAAAACGTTGATTATGAATAATATTGGTCGAAAATAAAAAATAAAATAAAATAATTAAAACTACAACGTTTCCATCGCAACACAAGCGGTATTTTTTCTTCCTGAACCTATCGATGTGACTTTACCGAAAGACCCAATGAATTCCCGCAGTCACGAAAGTTTCAAGTCAACATTGAGTATCGCTGTTTTGGCTTTCGCGGCACTTGCCAAGAACGTAACCCCCCGCGATATCCCAGCGTCTCCTGTACCTGGATTCCCAGCGTCGAGGCAATTCCTCCTCTCAGTTGACGGACACCTCCAAGGCAGTCAATATCAATGTGGACACATGGGAGAAAATGTCATCCAACCGTAAGCAGCGGAGAAGGTTGAAGGCAAAAGGGAAAAGCCTATCGGCATCGACGCCAGCGTCAACGTCAACGCCAGCGATGGCACAAGACAAATCCCATTCAGGAGATAAGCGGCAACGCTGGCCCGCAGTGCAGCTTGTGCTTCTGCTCAAGGGCTGGCTTCTCATCCCACCAGCACGCAGGCAAATGCTACCGCTAGCCGTTCTCCAGAGTCGTCATCGTTCGCGATGGACAGCCGAAGGAGTGTAAGCGTCACAACTAGGGAGACAAAGGTAGCCAGGCGCGGTGCTGGCCGTCCACCCCGTCGCGTGCCGTGCCGGACTTTATAGGTGCTCGCTCACAACACATTCCGCAAAAGTCTGTTAAGGCTATGCGGGGGATCTTTGTCTTTGTCTCACGAGTGTTTGCTTGGTGTGGTGTGCCGTGTGTGGGCTGCAGCCGGGATCGCTGGAGCAGGCTGTGAGCGATGTCAAGGCGCTGATGAGTCCCGTGGAGGATGGAGAAATGCAGAGCGTGTGGCTCCTCACTGAGTGAGACGCGGGGACACGGAGACATGGGGGCAAAGATTTCGATAGGGACACGCGGACATGGGGACAGACATACAGGGACACGCGGACATGGGGGCAGACATACAGGGACACAGGTACACACGGACATGGGGACTTGGGGGCAGGGATACAGGGACACAGAAACTCAGGGACATGGGGACATGGAGACACATGGACTCAGAGGCACGGAGACATGGGTTGCTTGGAGACACGGGGACACAGCGACATGGAGACATGGGTTGCTTGGAGGCACGGAGGCACGGGGACACAGGGACATGGGGACACGACTACGTGGGTGGCCGTGCGTCGTAGTGCGTCGCAGTGCGTTCTCAGTGAGCGTCACCGGCTCCTGTAGTCGTGCGTGTACAGACGTGTGTGTGGTAGCATCACAGTGGTGATCGTGTGGTCGTGATAGTGAGTGGGGAGCGCTAGTGCAGCGGTCAGCGCTCTGCGCGAGGAACTCGACGATCCGATTTCAATTCCCGCTCACGGTCATCGACATCAGTACCGATCCTGGGCCTCTCCTAGGCCGACTCGGCCTGAAATGAGTACCTGGTGCGGCTTGTAGTAAACATCGCCACTGGGGAGACAAAGGCCGGCCGGGTGTGGCGCTGGCCACCCACTTCCTCTTGAGCCGTGCCGGCCTTCATAGGTTGCTACTCTTCGATTTAAAGATTTCGTGACTGCAGGGATTCATCTTCTTGGTTCTTTCGGTAAAGTCACGTAGAAGGGAAATAATAAAATAATAAAAATAGAACATAATCAAATAATTCTCACAACGTTTCGGCCACAATGCAAGCAGCCGTCCTCAGGTGAAGGAGTGGCCGAAACGTCGTGAGAATTATTTTATTATGTTTTATTTTTATTATTTTATTATTTCCCTTCTACGTGACTTTACCGAAAGAACCAAGAAGAGGTTGCTACTCGCCAACATCAACATGCCCCAAGTGTCTGTTAATAGGCTATATGGGGTGGGGGTCTGTTGTCCATGAGATGCTTGCACGACAAAGTTTGAGGTGCCACCCACACGGGGAGGGGTGGGGGGGAGGGGGCGATCTTTGTCATGTGACGGCGGTAGCGACGGTGGCGGTGGCGGTCGTGCACGTGGTGAACGCGGCAGGGCACGCGGTAGCGACGGTGGCGCTCGTGCCCGCCCCCCCCCCCCGTGCCCCACCCCCCGCAGGGTGGACCACTGGAACACGGAGCGCGAGCGGCTGGTGCTGCTGGCGGAGCGCTCGATGCTCGTGTGCAAGTACGACTTCATGAGCCTGCACTGCCGCCGCGTGCGCCGCATCCCCCTGCGCTACGTGGAGACCGTCACCACGGGGGCCTTCCTCTTCCCGCACAAGTCGCTCAGCAAGTGCGTCGCTCTCTCGCTCAGTCGCTCGCTCAGTCACTCGCTCAGTCCGCGACGTGGCATATCGGGTTGTATCTTGAACTTCTTTCGCGCCCTACGTAGCCAACTGTGCTCATCGGAGGCAGCGGGGTTCGAGGGAAGGACGACAAACCGAACACAAGAAGCAGTTCTAACTCAATGGGTTTTGAAAGTGCGTAGCTCCGGTGCCTTCCGAATGATACGACTTCCGCGCGTGGGTGTGTGCGTCAGGCGTGAGGGCGTGGGCGTGCGCGTGGAGTGGGACCGCGTGGCCCACGCGCCGTTCTGGACCCAGTGGAACCCGTTCTCGGAGGAGCTGCCCTACACCACCTTCACGCAGCACCCCATGGCCTCCGCTGACGAGAAGATCGCCGCGCTCTGCCAGGTGACGCCGCTGCCCTCTCTGTACCCTTCGTTGAACTGCTGTCGCACCGTACGTAGCCAACCGCGCTAATCGGAGGTGCGCGGGAAGGACAACGAACTAAACGCGAAAGGCAGTTCTAAAGAAATGGGTTTACAATATATGTTTGGCTCCAGTGGCTTCCTAATATTGGAAGGAAGAGCGTTCCAGACGGCATGTGAAAGTGCACGATACGGTGACCGTCTTTGTTCGATAGCTAGCCAACAGCTGCTGCTGCGAGGCTGATGGAGTTTGCGTGATGGTTTATGCTCCTTGGTGAGATCGGCAAGGTATAGTGGTTCGTTTGTGGCAAGCACTTTGTCTGTAGTGAGTGCGACCTTATGATGTATTCATTCGGCAACCGGAAGCCAACACAACATTGGACAGACATGGTCAGATCATGCAGTACCCGTCATGACATGTGCCAGAGAATTTTGTAAACGGAGTCGTGAATTGCAATATTCGAGCCTTGTCAATACGATGCTAACCACCGCCTTGTTCGCTATGTCACACTTCAACAGGTCGATTGTGTTGTAGAGGCCTGATGTGAAACTTGCAGGGCCTGAGGATAGTTTGCGCGCGGTGATAAAACGACACGGTCTGGTCGTGGATGGTGCCCGAGGCGCTGTAGGGGAGTAGAAAACTGAATCCTGGAGTCCGTGACCACCACACGCGATCCTCCCACAACTTGTTTCGCCTGAACCCGAGTGCCAACCAGCAGAACCTCCGAACTGTTCTGGATGAAGCAGCGTTTCGTTTGGTGCAGACCGCACGTGCACCGCTCGCGTGCAATATTCACGGTTACCGAGGCTCTCCGTATCTAACTTGGACTTCACTGCGGTGTACAATTGTGTATTTTCATCACCATATCGATGTAACTTGATGTCATGCAATGAGATGACGTCGGTGAGCGGAGAGACGTTTGTTGAAAATAAGAAGGGCCCGAGGAAGCATCCCTGCGGTACGCTGACTAGGCACGGCACAGACGATGACTGATCGTCACCCAGCTTGACGAACTGTGATCGACCACGTAGGCACGACTCAATCCACTCCAGTGCCGTACCCGACACGCCGAACCAGATACTCATCGGGTAGCCACCCGATGAGTATCTGATGCTCTTTGGTTCTTTCGGTAAAGTCACGTAGGTAGAAAAAATAATAGATCACGACGTTTCGATCGCAATGCAAGCAATCGTCATCAGGCGGAAGAAAGAGTATGGATTCCTGCAGTCACGAAAGCTTCAAATCAAGATTGAGTATCTCGTGGTCGATGGTGTCGAAGGCGGCTGAGATATCGAGGCCGACCAACACTGCGGCGCACCGGCCATCTGTGATCTTGTAGAGGTCATCCGTGATCTTGTAGAGGTCATCCGTGATCTTGTAGAGGCCATCCGTGATCTTGTAGAGGTCATCCGTGATCTTGTAGAGGTCATCCGTGATCTTGTAGAGGTCATCCGTGATCTTGTAGAGGTCATCTGTGATCTTGTAGAGGCCATCCGTGATCTTGTAGAGGTCATCCGTGATCTTGTAGAGGTCATCCGTGATCTTGTAGATGTCATCCGTGATCTTGTAGAGGTCATCCGTGATCTTGTAGATGTCATCCGTGATCTTGTAGATGTCATCTGTGATCTTGTAGAAGTCATCCGTGATCTTGTAGATGTCATCCGTGATCTTGTAGAGGTCATCCGTGATCTTGTAGAGGTCCTCCGTGATCTTGTAGAGGTCATCTGTGATCTTGTAGAGGCCATCCGTGATCTTGTAGAGGTCATCCGTGATCTTGTAGAGGTCATCCGTGATCTTGTAGATGTCATCCGTGATCTTGTAGAGGTCCTCCGTGATCTTGTAGAGGTCATCCGTGATCTTGTAGATGTCATCCGTGATCTTGTAGAGGTCCTCCGTGATCTTGTAGAGGTCATCCGTGATCTTGTAGAGGTCATCCGTGATCTTGTAGAGGTCCTCCGTGATCTTGTAGAGGTCATCCGTGATCTTGTAGAGGTCCTCCGTGATCTTGTAGATGTCATCCGTGATCTTGTAGATGTCATCCGTGATCTTGTAGAGGTCATCTGTGATCTTGTAGAGGTCCTCCGTGATCTTGTAGATGTCATCTGTGATCTTGTAGAGGTCATCCGTGATCTTGTAGATGTCATCCGTGATCTTGTAGAGGTCATCCGTGATCTTGTAGAGGTCCTCCGTGATCTTGTAGAGGTCATCCGTGATCTTGTAGATGTCATCTGTGATCTTGTAGATGTCATCCGTGATCTTGTAGATGTCATCTGTGATCTTGTAGAGGTCATCCGTGATCTTGTAGATGTCCTCCGTGATCTTGTAGAGGTCATCCGTGATCTTGTAGATGTCATCTGTGATCTTGTAGATGTCATCCGTGATCTTGTAGAGGTCATCCGTGATCTTGTAGATGTCATCTGTGATCTTGTAGAGGTCATCCGTGATCTTGTAGATGTCATCTGTGATCTTGTAGATGTCATCCGTGATCTTGTAGATGTCATCTGTGATCTTGTAGAGGTCCTCCGTGATCTTGTAGAGGTCATCCGTGATCTTGTAGATGTCATCCGTGATCTTGTAGATGTCATCTGTGATCTTGTAGATGTCATCCGTGATCTTGTAGATGTCATCTGTGATCTTGTAGATGTCATCCGTGATCTTGTAGATGTCATCTGTGATCTTGTAGAGGTCCTCCGTGATCTTGTAGATGTCATCCGTGATCTTGTAGAGGTCATCCGTGATCTTGTAGAGGTCATCCGTGATCTTGTAGAGGCCATCCGTGATCTTGTAGAGGTCATCCGTGATCTTGTAGAGGTCATCCGTGATCTTGTAGAGGTCCTCCGTGATCTTGTAGATGTCCTCCGTGATCTTGTAGAGGTCATCCGTGATCTTGTAGATGTCATCCGTGATCTTGTAGATGTCCTCCGTGATCTTGTAGAGGTCATCCGTGATCTTGTAGATGTCATCCGTGATCTTGTAGATGTCCTCCGTGATCTTGTAGAGGTCCTCCGTGATCTTGTAGATGTCATCCGTGATCTTGTAGATGTCATCTGTGATCTTGTAGAGGTCATCCGTGATCTTGTAGATGTCATCTGTGATCTTGTAGATGTCCTCCGTGATCTTGTAGATGTCATCTGTGATCTTGTAGAGGTCCTCCGTGATCTTGTAGAGGTCATCCGTGATCTTGTAGAGGTCATCTGTGATCTTGTAGATGTCATCCGTGATCTTGTAGATGTCCTCCGTGATCTTGTAGATGTCATCTGTGATCTTGTAGATGTCCTCCGTGATCTTGTAGAGGTCCTCCGTGATCTTGTAGATGTCCTCCGTGATCTTGTAGATGTCATCTGTGATCTTGTAGATGTCATCCGTGATCTTGTAGATGTCCTCCGTGATCTTGTAGATGTCATCTGTGATCTTGTAGATGTCATCCGTGATCTTGTAGATGTCCTCCGTGATCTTGTAGAGGTCATCCGTGATCTTGTAGATGTCATCAGTGATCTTGTAGAGGTCCTCCGTGATCTTGTAGATGTCATCAGTGATCTTGTAGATGTCATCCGTGATCTTGTAGATGTCCTCCGTGATCTTGTAGAGGTCATCCGTGATCTTGTAGATGTCATCAGTGATCTTGTAGATGTCCTCCGTGATCTTGTAGAGGTCATCCGTGATCTTGTAGATGTCATCCGTGATCTTGTAGATGTCCTCCGTGATCTTGTAGATGTCATCTGTGATCTTGTAGATGTCATCCGTGATCTTGTAGATGTCCTCCGTGATCTTGTAGATGTCATCCGTGATCTTGTAGATGTCCTCCGTGATCTTGTAGATGTCCTCCGTGATCTTGTAGATGTCATCAGTGATCTTGTAGAGGTCCTCCGTGATCTTGTAGAGGTCATCCGTGATCTTGTAGAGGTCATCCGTGATCTTGTAGATGTCATCTGTGATCTTGTAGATGTCCTCCGTGATCTTGTAGATGTCATCCGTGATCTTGTAGATGTCCTCCGTGATCTTGTAGATGTCCTCCGTGATCTTGTAGATGTCATCTGTGATCTTGTAGATGTCCTCCGTGATCTTGTAGATGTCCTCCGTGATCTTGTAGATGTCATCTGTGATCTTGTAGAGGTCCTCCGTGATCTTGTAGAGGTCCTCCGTGATCTTGTAGATGTCCTCCGTGATCTTGTAGATGTCCTCCGTGATCTTGTAGATGTCATCTGTGATCTTGTAGAGGTCCTCCGTGATCTTGTAGAGGCCATCCGTGATCTTGTAGAGGCCATCCGTGATCTTGTAGAGGTCCTCCGTGATCTTGTAGAGGTCATCCGTGATCTTGTAGATGTCATCTGTGATCTTGTAGAGGTCCTCCGTGATCTTGTAGAGGTCCTCCGTGATCTTGTAGAGGTCATCCGTGATCTTGTAGATGTCATCTGTGATCTTGTAGAGGTTCTCCGTGATCTTGTAGAGGTCATCCGTGATCTTGTAGAGGTCATCCGTGATCTTGTAGATGTCATCTGTGATCTTGTAGAGGTCCTCCGTGATCTTGTAGAGGTCCTCCGTGATCTTGTAGAGGTCATCCGTGATCTTGTAGAGGTCATCCGTGATCTTGTAGAGGTCCTCCGTGATCTTGTAGAGGTCCTCCGTGATCTTGTAGAGGTCATCCGTGATCTTGTAGAGATCATCCGTGATCTTGTAGAGGTCCTCCGTGATCTTGTAGAGATCATCCGTGATCTTGTAGAGGTCCTCCGTGATCTTGTAGAGGTCCTCCGTGATCTTGTAGAGGTCCTCCGTGATCTTGTAGAGGTCATCCGTGATCTTGTAGAGGTCCTCCGTGATCTTGTAGAGGTCCTCCGTGATCTTGTAGAGGTCATCCGTGATCTTGTAGAGATCATCCGTGATCTTGTAGAGGTCCTCCGTGATCTTGTAGAGATCATCCGTGATCTTGTAGAGGTCCTCCGTGATCTTGTAGAGGTCCTCCGTGATCTTGTAGAGGTCCTCCGTGATCTTGTAGAGGTCATCCGTGATCTTGTAGAGGTCATCCGTGATCTTGTAGAGGTCATCCGTGATCTTGTAGAGGTCATCCGTGATCTTGTAGAGATCATCCGTGATCTTGTAGAGATCATCCGTGATCTTGTAGAGGTCATCCGTGATCTTGTAGAGGTCATCCGTGATCTTGTAGAGGTCATCCGTGATCTTGTAGAGGTCATCCGTGATCTTGTAGAGGTCATCCGTGATCTTGTAGAGGTCATCCGTGATCTTGTAGAGGTCATCCGTGATCTTGTAGAGGTCATCCGTGATCTTGTAGAGGTCATCCGTGATCTTGTAGAGGTCATCCGTGATCTTGTAGAGGTCATCCGTGATCTTGTAGAGGTCATCCGTGATCTTGTAGAGTCATCCGTGATCTTGTAGAGGTCATCCGTGATCTTGTAGAGGTCATCCGTGATCTTGTAGAGGTCATCCGTGATCTTGTAGAGGTCATCCGTGATCTTGTAGAGGTCATCCGTGATCTTGTAGAGGTCATCCGTGATCTTGTAGAGTCATCGTGATCTTGTAGAGGTCATCCGTGATCTTGTAGAGGTCATCCGTGATCTTGTAGAGGTCATCCGTGATCTTGTAGATGTCATCCGTGATCTTGTAGAGGCCATCCGTGATCTTGTAGAGGTCATCCGTGATCTTGTAGAGTCATCCGTGATCTTGTAGAGGTCATCCGTGATCTTGTAGAGGTCATCCGTGATCTTGTAGAGGCCATCCGTGATCTTGTAGAGGTCATCCGTGATCTTGTAGATGTCATCCGTGATCTTGTAGAGGTCATCTGTGATCTTGTAGAGGTCCTCCGTGATCTTGTAGAGGTCATCCGTGATCTTGTAGAGGTCCTCCGTGATCTTGTAGAGGTCATCCGTGATCTTGTAGAGGTCATCCGTGATCTTGTAGAGGTCATCCGTGATCTTGTAGAGGTCCTCTGTGATCTTGTAGAGGTCATCCGTGACCTTGTAGAGGTCATGTGATCTTGTAGAGGTCATCCGTGATCTTGTAGAGGTCATCTGTGATCTTGTAGAGGTCCTCCGTGATCTTGTATAGGTCATCCATGATCTTGTAGAGGTCATCTGTGATCTTGTAGAGGTCCTCCATGATCTTGTAGAGGTCATCTGTGATCTTGTAGAGGTCCTCCGTGATCTTGTATAGGTCATCCATGATCTTGTAGAGGTCCTCTGTGATCTTGTAGAGGTCCTCCATGATCTTGTAGAGGTCATCTGTGATCTTGTAGAGGTCCTCCGTGATCTTGTATAGGTCATCCATGATCTTGTAGAGGTCATCTGTGATCTTGTAGAGGTCCTCCATGATCTTGTAGAGGTCATCTGTGATCTTGTAGAGGTCCTCCGTGATCTTGTATAGGTCATCCATGATCTTGTAGAGGTCATCTGTGATCTTGTAGAGGTCATCCATGATCTTGTAGAGGTCATCTGTGATCTTGTAGAGGTCATCCATGATCTTGTAGAGGTCATCCGTGATCTTGTAGAGGTCCTCCGTGATCTTGTAGAGGTCATCCGTGATCTTGTATAGGTCACCCGTGATCTTTAGCAGTGCCGTCTCAGTGCTGTGAGACTTCCGGTACGTCGACCACAACGAGTTGAATCTGCCCGTTGCAGCGACGTGGGGAAGTGACCGCTTCAGACACAGGCCGTTTGAGATCTGGCGATAGTTTGCGGGGCCACTACATCTCAGGGCAACTTTTTTCAGGAAGTGTTGTTACCTGCGCCATTTCAAACTGGTCTGAGAAACATCCCTCGCTCAACGAAAGATTTGTCAGGTGGACAATCGGCGGCGCAAGCAATGTCCGAGCACGATTTGAGAATAATTCGAATCGACGTGTGGATGTTGTCGAGCGGCGATGTCTTATTTGGCAGCCATGTGATGAACATCGACACCTCTGCTACTGATGTTGGCGCCAGGGTCTCGAGTTTCACGTTGGTTCCAGGTTGATCAAACTCAGATGGCAGAGAATGCGTTGCCTTCTGTTACAAACTGCTGTCTTGATCGTCACTATTTAATCAGGAAAGAACGTCTCAAGTCCTGCGCGCGGACCGGGTTGACGAGTTGATGGGTGGTTGGGAGTCCAGCAGACGCTGCACGACGTGTTGCAGAGCACGTCACGCACGTCCTCACCTCCCCCCGTGCGCGTGTCTCTCTCTCTCCGCGGCGCTCAGATCACCAGCTTCCAGACGCAGCTGGTGCAGGCTGTGCAGCGGGCGCAGCGGGGGGTTGACGGCGGGTCGCGCGCGCCGGGCGAGGTGGGCGTGGAGGTGTGCGCCACGCTGGCCGTGCAGGACGCACCGCTCCGCATCGACACCTACGTGGGGCTCGTGTCGCTCATTGGCAACGAGGCCCGGCTCGGCTACTCCATGGCGCGGGGCCTCTTCGGCTTCTAGGCGAGGGTGGGCCCGGGCGGTGCCCCCCCGACCGTCCCCCCGGGTTGCGGGGGGGGGTGGTCACGGGGGGGGGGGGCGATGGGCACCGCCGGAGACGCACGCACGCACGCACTCAACGGAGACTCACACGCACACATTGCAGACAGAGACACGCACGCACACTGGAGACACACACAGATGGTAGTCACTGCCTGTCTCTGGTAGTGGTGTGGAGGTACCGCCTGACTCCTGGTTGGTGAACGTCTCCGGTGGTACCTCGCCGTGGCTGTGCGCCCCCAGCTGCTTGAGCCGACGCCGCACGCTGTGCACTTTATTTACCCTTATCGCCCTCGCTCGCCCGCTCGCTTCACCGCCCTTTAGCGAGGAGGTGGCGGCGGCGGGGATGGGCGTTCAAAGCCTATGCGTATCCAGCGTCGGCCCTTCTCTTGCAAGCTGCCGAGCTTGCGCGTGACGAGAGTCGCTCCCTGGCTGACCGTGTGAATTGCCACTATTCGCGTGTCGCGTCGTCGTAGCTCGAGAACGGATTTCTTGGTGCCCGTGCTGTTCGTTTACTTCGCTTTGTTGATTCGGTGTGACTCAGTGTTGCTCAAAACTTGTTTAGCCCCCCGCGGACCGCTCAGTCGATGATGACCCACCTGGCCTCCCAACCCCTGGTGACAAAACGTATTTGCGTCTCTCTCTAAATTATTCATTTTACAGGAACGTCTTTTATTTTACGCAGCTGTAAGGTTTTTTGTTGTTGGGGGGGGTGGGTGGGTGGGAGGCCATTTAGATCTTGGGGTTAGGGTCATTCAATCAGGATCGTTCTCTGGTCTGCTGGTGAGACGAGGCCATAGAGAAGGCTGCTGTCTCTGTGTCTCTGGTGTAGGCCAATCAGTTTCAAAGACGAGGCGTAGATTAGAGAATGTTTGTGTGCATGGTCACCACAGGTACTCTGTGCGTGGTTAATGCAGTAACTTTATTCCTTGCAAAAAGTTTATATTTGGTGTTTGAACATCTTAACACTACTCGTGTTTTATTACTGCCAGAAAGGCTGAAACCTCTTGTTATTGTTCATACTTTATCGGGGCAGTTTACCCGACTTTATTTAAAAATTAAATATAAGTAAAGTGTTAACTATTGTCATTATTTGCTGCGGATCGACTCGCGTTTACATCGCAGCGCCATCCGCGGAACCACCTGGGGGACCGTCGCGGACCAGCCGGTGGTTCCGGGGGGGGGGGGGGGGGGGGGCGGGAGGGACTGCACTCTGAGAGCCGCTGGGTTTAACCAATTCCGGTTTTTTTTGCGTGAGCGCGCGTCCCGTCAACGTAGCAACTGAATATCGATCGGGGTGCGTGCATCGTGACTTGGCTTCAGCGGCACAGCGGGTGGGCGGTGTGCCGCTGGACTACAGCGCTGGTTTATTTTATGCTTCGTTACATATCTATATAATATAACAAAAACCCCCACCGGTTTGGGAAGTCGTGCGTGCGTGCGAGGAGTCTGTGACGCGGTCCAGCACGTAATTAGTACTCGCTAGGCGCGCAGGGTATGGCACTGTGGCGTGAGGCTGCGATGAGACAAGGGGGGGTGGGACGGTGAGGGCGGTGGGGTGGGGGCGGTGGGGGTGGGTGTTTGAATGGTGGCTCTACCAGGCAGGGTGCGGGCAAACCCTCGGATAAAAATTGCCCGGCTGTCTCCCAGGGTACAATCGCAGACGTCAACGCAACACGACTTGCCACTAGAGTTGCACTGATAGTGAAACATCTGTAATAACTCCCGTTCAGACGACGTCTTGACTTCAGAGTTGTTTATTCGTTTCTCCCGTTCACAGCCTTCCACCGCATTCACACTCTCGGTTCCCTCGCCTCCCTCCCCGCCCCCTCACGCTGCTGGCTGACGGCGTGAGAGAGACCGCCACGTGGCTGGAGCGGGACCACGGCACCAGCCACGTGGCTCCCCCCTTCGTTCCTCCGCACGCTGACCTCGTGCTGTCCTTCTCCACCCCTTATGACACCTGGCCCACGTGATGCCACGTAGCTAATCCTCAGCCACACCCCTGGAACTTTCTCGAAGATACTGTCCAGCTCCAGGACCATGCCCCTGGTTCGACTCCCCATTGGCTGCGGGCTGAGGCCGGCAGAGCCAATCACTATCGCCCAGGTGTAACCTCACATTACACATGCTCGGGAGAGTTGTCGTGAGTGGGCTGCGATGGCTCATGTGGAGGAGGGCGGGGTCGCCAGAGCGTGGTACTTGCAGCGCTGGCTGGGTCTCCCAAGTTTTTCGGAAATAATCCCGCACCTCCGATTAGCGCAGTTGGCTACGTACGGTGCGAAAGAAGTTCAGCGTACATACGTGCTTCTAGATTTGAAGCTTTCGTGACTGCAAGGATTCATACTCTTAGGTTTTTTCGGTAAAGTCACATAGGTAGAAAAATAAAATAAAATAAAAAAAATAATAATATAAATAATAATAGAAATAAAATAATAAATCACGACGTTTTGGAGGCAACAGAAGTCTCCGTCATCATGTGGGACCGTCACAGCCAGATTTACTGTCTCAAGTAAATCTTACTTGAGACAGTAAATTTAGCTGTGACGGTCCCACCTGATGACCGAGACTTGTGTTGCCTCCGAAACGTCGTGATTTATTATTTTATTTCTATTATTATTTATATTATTATTTTTATTTTATTTATTTTTAACTACGTGACTTTACCGAAAAAACCTGAGAGTATGCACATACGTATGTGGTCGACGTGGCGGGTTTCCTCTGTGCGAGTGAATCGCTGGTAGCATCACAAGCTCCTACTCGAGTATCATTCATGTTGGATTATCTCTACTGGAGTTACCGTGACTCACCCCCCCCTCCCCCCCGCTGTTATGCAGACAGATGGACGCAGCTGATGCATCAACGTTTTTAACCCAAGTTAAAAATTTAAGACGAGGGTAATTCAATTTGTAACCGCGCATGCTATATCGCAATCCCACGAGAAAGAGTTTGGGCCTTTTAAGTGTCTCTTAAAAGTCCGTGTAGGTTGAAGGCTGCTGCTCCTGCTGCTGCTGTTGCTGCTGCTGCTGCTGTGAATGTGCAGCAGTGGGATGATGACGATGGCTGAGCTCCAGACGAAGGGGGCTGCCACGGAGATGCGACGGCCGTCAGTGGCCGTGGTCCCGGTCCTTGGTGTGTAGAGAGGAGGAGGAGGTTGTGAGTCGTGCTGCTGCTGTAGAGGGGGTGGAGATAGTGAGTCGTGCTGCTGCTGCTGTAGAGGAGGAGGTTGTGAGTCGTGTTGCTGCTGTAGAGGAGGAGGTTGTGAGTCGTGTTGCTGCTGCTGCTGTAGAGGAGGAGGTTGTGAGTCGTGTTGCTGCTGTAGATGAGGAGGAGGAGGTTGTGAGTCGTGCTGCTGCTGCTGCTGTAGAGGAGGAGGTTGTGAGTCGTGTTGCTGCTGTAGAGGAGGAGGTTGTGAGTCGTGTTGCTGCTGTAGAGGAGGAGGAGGTAGTGAGTCGTGCTGCTGCTGCTGTAGAGGAGGAGGAGGTTGTGAGTCGTGCTGCTGCTGCTGCTGTAGAGGAGGAGGTTGTGAGTCGTGTTGCTGCTGCTGCTGTAGAGGAGGAGGAGGTTGTGAGTCGTGCTGCTGCTGCTGTAGAGGAGGAGGTTGTGAGTCGTGTTGCTGCTGTAGAGGAGGAGGATGAGGTTGTGAGTCGTGTTGCTGCTGTAGAGGAGGAGGAGGAGGTTGTGAGTCGTGTTTGCTGCTGCTGCTGTAGAGGAGGAGGAGGTTGTGAGTCGTGCTGCTGCTGCTGCTGTAGAGGAGGAGGAGGTTGTGAGTCGTGCTGCTGCTGTAGAGGAGGAGGAGGAGGTTGTGAGTCGTGCTGCTGCTGCTGCTGTAGAGGAGGAGGAGGTTGTGAGTCGTGCTGCTGCTGCTGCTGTAGAGGAGGAGGAGGTTGTGAGTCGTGCTGCTGCTGCTGTTGTAGAGGAGGAGGAGGAGGAGGTTGTGAGTCGTGCTGCTGCTGTAGAGGAGGAGGAGGAGGTTGTGAGTCGTGCTGCTGCTGCTGTAGAGGAGGAAAGGGGGGAGGATGAGGGGAGTGCTCCCGTGAGATGCTGTCGTGCAGGGTGACGGGAGAGCGAGGAGAGGTGTGGAGGCCACCCGAGAGTAGAGGCGCCGTGGTGGCACGGGCCGGAGGTCGTGCAGCTGACCCCCCTGCCGATGGGCAGCCAGGCGAGGGGGAGGTGGCTTTGACACCGTTGGGAGTTTCTCGAGTTTGCAGCCTGCCCACTGAGGTGTCGCGTTGCGAGAGCGGACGATGCGGTCGGTCTGCTGCCCCGTCGAAGGATTAACGAGCGGTTGGCAAGGACCGCGACGCGCTTGGGGAAGCGGACGGTGGAACCGGCGAGTGGTCGGCTGGGCGCCACGGCGGACGCGCTGAGGGAGAGACCGCGGCCCAGAGAGCCACCGCTGCCCGGCGGCGGGGTTGGCGCACTACTCGGAGAGCCTCTCCTCCCACCGCACCTCCGATTAGCTACGGTTGGCTACGTACGGTGCGAAAGAAGTTGAACGCCTACGTACGTACAGGCGCGTCGGTGGGACCGGCGGAGGTGGGGGGGGGGGGGGTGATCGTCGTAGGACCGGTGGTTTGACACCGGTCAGTCCGAGGCAGGAGACGTGCCGGCCGCCAACAGCTCGGGGCCGAGGATGAAGACTCCCCCACCCCCCCACTCCCCACCCCCCCCCCCACCCCCTCCCTACCGTAACCGAGAAACTACAGCCTGAGAGGTCAGGCCTGGTCCTTTGTAGGCAGGGCTGGGCCGCCGATGCCAAAGTCAGATCCCAGGAGGGCGGCGGTGTGGGAGACCGACAAGCCGACGAGTGCAGGGATTGTAACGGGGTGCGGGGATTGTGGAAGGGTGTGTGGGATTGTAACGGGGTGTGTGGGATTGTGGAAGGGTGTGTGGGATTGTGGAAGGGTGTGTGGGATTGTGACGGGGTGCGGGGATTGTGGAAGGGTGTGTGGGATTGTAACGGGGTGCGGGGATTGTGGAAGGGTGTGTGGGATTGTAACGGGGTGCGGGGAGGGAACGTCGCCAGCGCGCACTCTTGCGGCAGTCCCGGTGGGATGAATGAAAGTGAATGACGATCATTTATGTTGAATCAGTTTGAGATTCTCAATGAAAGTGGACGATAATCATTCGCGATTTGACCTTCGGAGTGAATTCATTCAAGGTTTTCTCGACGAGAGTGAACGAGAGGTGGAATCGACGTGAGGTTCTCGGTGAGAGTGACGCTCGGCTTGCCGTTCTCGTCGTGGGTACTCGACGGCCGTGGGATTCCAACGGCGACGATCGCCCGAGATCCGACCTCCGTGTGAGACCACGGCGGTCCGTTCTCAGGATCCCGCCGCGGAGACTGCCCGCCGGCCATTTAGGATTTGCCCTCGGTGACCCGGATCAATGACACAATCTCGGTGAACGTGACCGACCATCGTGTCGGATTTGACATCTCGCCGCGGTGGCTATGAGATGTTGACTACCTCGCCTGGTACGCAGGAGGTCGTCGGTTCGATCCCGACCCTGACGCCTGCTGCTGCTGTATATTTGGAGTTTGCGTCCCTCTCATCATCACCACGGTGGCTAGGAGATGTTAACTCCCTCGCCTGGTACGCAGGAGGTCGTCGGTTCGATCCCGACCCTGACGCCTGCTGTTGCTGTATATTTGGAGTTTGAGTGTCTCTCTCTCTCCCCGTGGTCGCGTGGATTTTTCTCCGGGCCCTCCGTTTTTTTTCCTCTCCACATTCAGAATCGACATCACCGCGCGTTCAGAGTATTTGGCTGCTGTGCATCCCCACGTGATGATAAACCACTTCGCTGAGCTGTCATTTGTGGCCAGGTCACTTCTGAAAAAGAGCTATACAGCTCGGTGGACCTTACATAGTTAAAATAACAAAAAAACTGTCTAAGTTTAAAAAAAATGATAGATCGTGTTGGATGAAAGCGACAGATTGTAAAACTTGCAGCGGATTTCCAAGTTTATCCCTGGGTTATGTTTTAACATTCCCCAGGTGTTCTGGATCATGTCCAGGCCGGCTCCGTGTTAGGACCGCCGCGTGACCAAGTTCGACCCGGTACGGTCCTTGAATTTTGACTCTCTGTGAGTTCGGGTGGAAGGAATTTTCGTTTACTGATATCTGGCTGCGGCAATGCGTTTGAACAGTTCTGGTGGACCTTGCTGCTGGCCGAGTGATATGCCTGGGTTTGGTCTCCAGGGGAAAGAGGTGGCATCCCTACTCTGCACACAGATTCATCAGACTATGCACGTGTACTGGAGGAATCCGACGAGCTGTATTTGGCCGCAGTGCATTGCCACGTGATGATACGCCACCTGGTGGAGCTATCATTTGTGGCCAGTTGGCGTCTGGAAAAGAAAAGAAAAGAGAGCTCTGCAGCTCAGTGGGCCTTACGTGGTAAAATGAGAAAAGCAAAGTTAAACGATGAACTATAATTAAACAATTAGTTTGTTTTTATTTTACCAGCTAAGGCCCACCGAGCCATGCAGCTCTTTTTCAGAAGCGGCCTGGCACGGGGTTGGAATGTTACAACAAAGAAAGAGGAGAAAGACAGTGCACACTATAGGAAAGGTAAACATGTGACTTAAATATATACATGTACAAATAAAACTAAACCATGTTCTATACTCGTTGGTTCTTTCGGTAAAGTCACGTGGGTATAAAATCATCATGATGATCATGATGATTATTGCTTGTGTTGCGATCGACACGTCGTGATTTAATTTCTTTTATTTTCTACTCTACGTGACTTTACCGAAAGAACCAAAGAGTATGGATCTCTGCAGTCACGAAAACTTGAAATCAAGATTAAACTTTGCTCTATCTTGATAATAGGGGTTTTCCCATCCTTTTTTCAGGCAACAAAACCATGTTCTATCTTAGCAGCTATAGCCCACTTGATGTTTTAACTTATT